TATTGCCTTTTTTTTTTCGTCCTTCTTTATTTTTCTTTAAATATTTTTTCTTTTTTCTTTTTCTCTCTTCTTTTTTTTTTCCGACCTTTTTTATTTTTCTTTCAACTTTTTTTTCCCCTTTTTCTCCTTTTTTTTCCGACTTTTTTCATTTTTCTTTCAACTTTTTTCCTTTTTCTTTTTCTTTTTCTTTTTCTTTTTTGGTTAGATCTTTTTCCATTCTCACATCCCTTTATTCAGTACTCCAACTTAATGCCTCCTTTTATCCATGCAAAGAATCTCCTTAAAATCAGGCATAGATATACTCCTCGTCGGAGTTTCCTCTTTCTTCAGTATTTTGCAACTTAATGCCTTCTTTTATCCATGCAAAAGATCTCCTCAAAATCATGTCATAGACATGCTCCTCGTCCCAGTTTGCTGAATTGAAAAGAAAGGAGTTTCTTGTAACCCAAATAAACCACAGATAACAAAGAAAATAAAGTCCCTTGCTTTTCTTGCAGGTGATAAGAATCAAAGAGTTCTTTGCTTTTCTTGTCGTCGACGAGGTTTAGCATTTTGGGTGGTAAACTCTCATCGAAGTGAGAAAAATGTCAAGCTCCGACAACGAAGGAAATGGTGTTCCGCCTTCGGGCAACGTTGTCAACAATAATAGAGCCAACAACTCTGGAATTGGTTCTGGAAGCCAAAACAATGGCCAAGGTTCTGGATCTAATTATGGTAGTCATTTTGGCGGCAATTTCAACGTTGGACCTGGTGCTGGAGGATGGAATTCTGGCCCTCGTTCTGGAAGTATCAACGAGTTGAGGGGGCCAGCCAACTTTTTGTCGGAAGATAAGACCACAGAGAAGAGCGTTGGACGCGGGACTGAGCCTGCATCAACAAAGACAGAGAATTCCCATGGTAAGAGAAAAATTAGTTCAGAATATAATGCACACCATAAGAAAAAAGAAAAAAGAAAAAAAAAAACACTCTCACAATCAGCAACTCGTTTGTTGTCCATAAATCCTTTTTCCTGTCATGAGTTAGAATTAGGGTGAAATTTAGGTGGTTACTAAAACTCTTGTCATAGTGATAAATTTGACATGTCTCAAAAAAAATTTATAGTAACAAAAAAATTGATATTACTAGTAACTTATTTGTAACAAATTTATGCATCATTGAAAGTACTTCTTGTTACAAAAATTTTCATTACAAAAATTACAACTAAGTGAAAAAAAAACACCACAAATATAATTGAGTATCTATGACGAAATATTTAACCATCAATAATTTAAATTGATATTGAACTGAAAGGATATTTATGAAATTACAATCTATATATATAG